AGTATACACGATGTTTCTAAGATCTCAGTTGGGTACACGATATCATTGTAAAGCATTTCCGAGACCAATTTACAACGAATAGATATTCTAAAGGGAATGTTGCGATCCGTAGCATGGAGTAGAAAATACGACACTTGCTATAGTTGAAATTATAGAACATACGTAAGGATTTCTTCTTTTCACCCGTCATTTTGATACTTTCAAAAGTATTGAGCGAACTTTCTCCTACTCTACCATTAGCGTACGGGCTGACTACGTTCGCAGAATCATAATTCACTCTCTGCTGGCTGATCGTCTAGCATGCGTTCGTACTTAGAAACTGGCGCGTTTTGCAAATGGTTTGTATCAATATCAGTGTAGTTTTTAAAGTATACTAAACGACGACTTTAATCTCGAGACAAGGCTTCATGGACACAGGTATATAGCTACCACCAGGTGGATTTACCCTAAAGCAAATTTTGTAACAAAGTGCAAGAATATTTAATTATTATAGATTGGAAATATGTATCACTTTTACTGATCTAGCTGATATGGGGTGATATAGCGAATTGATTGGTTCCAACATTTCTGAAGCAGCGCCACTTTGACTTTTTCACCATGTTTCATTTTTGGGACGAAGCGTTTCACTTCAGCTCTAAATTCAAAATTGGCATTTTCGAAACACAATCACAAACACCTGAGTTGTCGAGAACTCAAGAAAAGACATCTTCCCATGTTTTGAGCCACATTTTTGGAATTGGTGCAATTCGTGCAGTCGAAGATGCGGAAAATATAACTCCGAAATGAGAAAATCGGGAAACCAAAATTTTACATTGCCTTCTTGCTCCTGTTTTTAGCGAGTGTTGGTGCGAAAGGAAACATAATCGTGGTACAGAGCCATCTGATTGGCTATGGATGAACGTTATCAATCTGTACTATCATTTTTTTGTACACACAACATATACATCTGATGCAAAAGTATCTGCGAGGCATTGTAGTCTGTGTCGCCATCACCACATCACACTCACAAGTACTTCCAGACTCTTGTTTGTAGGCCCCAGGCTTCATTTTTCACACGTTATTTCGATATATCACGAGTAAAACAATGCTAAACACGATATGCCATTGTCCAGTGCGCCCGATATTGAAACAATCGTTAGGATATTCTTTCATATCCTAGTACCGCGTACATATATACTATTTATTCTCTAACAGATCGTAGGCATATCCTCGTAAGAACACTATTCAATACTCTCAGAGCACTTCCCAGGCGTGCAAGTCAGTTCTCATTTTTCTTCTTCTTTAGAATCCTTGCAAGTTGCAGCTCACCACCTCATTTTCAGGAACGTAAAATTTGGTGTTTATTTTATTTTGTATATAAATTCGAATACACTATCGCGCCCACCAGTTGACTATTTTTTTTCTTCGATTTCAACATAGCCTCCTAAATGTTCAATTTTCAGAAGGCTATATTCCGAGATGAATAAACACGCTATCTTCAATTCCGCTATCGATAGCGGTCATACTTGGACATGCCGCACGTTGAACTAGTGCTTCCAAATAAAACAGGCACCGCAGTGCTACACAAAGTTGTTTTTTGAATAAAGGTTTGCCAAATATAATTTTCATCTGTCCTGTTGTAATTCTGAACACCTACAGTTTTTATTGCTGTCCTGACGATTATCCCGAACCAACTACAGACCTGCATCTGATTTGCCCATGGTAATCCAAAAAAATAAATATTATTTCCCACGTTTGGCAATTGGGAATTCGACTGTCTGATCAGTGATCGCTACATGTCTTAAATAGGTTTTTATGCTATTTATGCGCCTAGTAACCAACTCCATTCATTCACCGAGGACATGCGAAGCTGAATATTTCAAATTTAAGAGTGTGATCTGTAGATTTAATCAGTATAAATACTGTGGCCACAGGTTTGAGGCCCTCAAGTCATTAAATACGCTACAACATTTGAACACGGATTCCAATCGACTATGCAACGGGTACAGCTTCTACTTTGGGTAGGTCTTTTATGGATATCTAACATGTGGACTGCCGACGGTCTGCCATTCCGAGGAATGTACGTGAGCCCCTACGATCCCACCGAGATCGGTATGTTTGGTAACATAATCGCCGACCGGTGCAAAGTGGATGCATTGGCACACTTTGTGCAGGCTCATTCGATTAAATCCTTGTCACTTTTCGATTTACACCGAATTCTGCCGGATGAAGTATTAACTGAACAGTTAGCACATTTGGTATAACATGTGAGGAAATTCGGAGTCGAAGAAGTGATTGCAATCGGTGGCGAAAGACTGCTAGATTTCGAAAGAATCAGGGAGTACCTATCAACGCACACACCAGAGGAACAGTTTGATGGCTTGCTTACAGAGATCGAATTTTGGAACCAACCGGGTGTAGATGTGAAGTTTACAGACTTCGTCTCGCTCCTGCAACAGGTCAAGGGACTCAATTTGACAGCACGTGGTAAGACCTTACCTGTGGGTGTCTACCTGGGATATCTGGTTGAGTCCGGCAGCACTGGTGCGTTGCAGAAGGCAGAAACCTTAGCGCGGATAGCGGATCGCATTTACCTTCATTGTTACGTCCAACAGGGTCATCAGACCTATGGTGCGTGTCAAGAGCGATTGCGCGTGTTTGCAGACACGGGAGTGTCTGTGCAGGTGACGCCGATGTTTAGTGCCGAGGGCCAGGAGTTTCATGCCGGCTATACATTCGAGGGGGACTATTTCTGGACCAATGGAATCGCAGAGGGCCAGGAACTATTCCAGGCGGCTTTTGCGGCCGACACACAAATGGTGAATTCGAATGTGCATCTAGCAGGGTTTCAGTACTACGAGTACAGATACTTGGGACGTTATGTGCGCACGGCTTAAGTTCAGCATATGTAGGGAAAAGTCAAATAGGACCGTTTTATATGCAGATACAAGTATATACCGGTGAATGTGCTCCTATACACAGAATATAGTATTTATTCTCAAAAAAATTGTCGATGCTCTGGTGCTACACATCAGAAATATATACCACCTGAGAAAATGAGCAAAGCAATATCTATATCTTCGAGCTTGCATGTGCATGGTTGTACTGACTTTTAGGCGGACAGGCCACATATTAGAAGTCAGAATTATATATTATATATATATTATCACTATATATTTAATGAGATTGTCTATGTGTTTTGATAGGCCTGCGATTTTGTCCATAATATGAAGAAAAAAGCCTGTATGCTGCTACTGCCGCGAGGCATCCGAGCCAAAACTTGTACAGCTCAAGGCTTGGTTGACGCTCGGACATCCAATTTTCCGTGACAGTGTACTCCTGTGTCTTGGTATCGATCAGTATAGCAATAAACCCTGTAGTGATGATTGTAAATATTGAGGTGAAGATTCCGGGCGTATATACATTACAGACTGTAATAAACCACCAAACTTCGTCGTTGACGTTGACTAGCATCGGGATATTAGAGATGATCCTCGACAGCTGCTGAACGAAACAGCCCACCATGTCACTGTTCTACTGGAAAGAAGTATATATGAAATTTTCGGCTCTTTCCTATGCTGATGCATAATATATGCATGCGTAAAGTGTCTGAGGTCATAAATATTGTCTAGATGTGCGCAATATCGTATACACAAACCTCAGGATGCTCCAATTCCCAGCGAACAGGCAATACGAACACATTTTTCAGGAGTCGATATGTCCTATTTATGTGCGTATAAAACATACAGCACATACTAACACACCGGTACACCGGTACTCATATACAAGACCCACAGCTAGTAACACACCATTCCTCGCATAGCTGGTTTTATACGAAAACGTGGGGGCTACCCATTGAACCGTTTTCTCCTCTCTGTGCACCACAATGCTCTCAGTGCTTTCCTCGGAATGTCCTGCTAGTATCAAATCAGGGCTGATTTTGTCCATCAACGTTTCACGTCGAGTATCAGAGAGCTGCAAAGCAAATGGGTCACATATATCGGCACTTGCACTGGTTTATTCGTATGTGTTTACGGTTTCCCTATGTCACAAGGCAAAGCTTTCTATGCCACAAAGATGCTTTGTACATACGGCTTAATGTGTACGCAAAAGTGGCTCATATGCCTACGCTTTGAGCATAAAGTGGCTCATATGCCTACGCTTTGATATTTTCCAGCAATCCTAAAATGTCTAGATGGGAGGAGTATTGAATATATACACGCAAGCAGGCAGATGCATAAATATGTGAAAGATGACACACAAACATACTCAAATATATACAAACAACACATATACACACAACCCATATACACAGATACATACACGCTTATAACAGAAGGAAACAGCGACTAGTGCCTGTCAATGATATCTTCCTTAAGTACAATACAATTTTAGTTGGTTATATTCCTCTAACATACCGATACAAATATACGCCCGCCCATGAACAGTTTACAACACCTTCGTAAGCGCAGTCCAAATGCAAGCATCTCGAAAGGCACATGCAACATAACTAAAGCCTTGCCGATGGCGCATGGCTATTCAATAACAGATACTAAAGTGTCAACTCTCAACTCATGGAATAAACACGGATCAAAAGCATAATGCGGCAGCCACCGTGAAGTATAGTATCGAGCTATCCGCGCACACCACGCACAAACTAGTTATAACAGCCTATGTGATGTGATGTTAGGATAGTGTTGGCAGCACGCAGCTGACTAATGTCCCCCCAAAACAAGAACAAACAGCTCGAGACACCGACATAACCATGCAAGCATACAGGTGCGAACGGCACAATTGACACGACTATGACATGATGAAAGTAGAATCATGTCTAAGAAGTACACAACAGGTACATGCATACATGCCAGTTTGGGAAGCCACATGTGATAAGAGGATAGTGAAGTCATGTCGAATCCGTTAAAAACGGTACATACATTGATACCTTTTCCAACGGCATGTGTGACAAGAAGATAGTGAAGTCGTTTAACGGCGCGTAGCTATCCAGAAACATGTTAGCCGGTTTGATGGTTTCTGCATTCTTCTTCTTCGCCGTAAAGGCCAGTGTATTGACAGTCACGAACTCAATTCCTATATATATATATATATATATATTAGAAAAACTTAATCTCTGTATTCTGCAATCCAGGAATTCGAAAAAAAATGACTTGCCCTGCAAGTTAAGTACTTAAGCAATTGTGTGGTCGTCATACACCAGTCGACATTTTGCGGTCTCATAATTGCTATTGGTTTTCTAGTCTTTATATACCATCAATTGCGCCAGGGTTAGATGGTTGGCGTGCGTTACTTGACCAACACTTGTCGTAGAGATCACTGACGTATTGGAAGCGGTAAATACTGAGCAATATAAACCTTCGCAGTTAGGCGAGTTCTACTTAACTTGTACTGAAAGAATATCCATACGTGTAAATACTGATGCGTGTGTGTTATCACGCTTGCTAAATTTAAAACCTCTGAGCCCGCACGCACGCATTGGCCTGTAGGTGATAGTGCATATAAGCAAACCTATACCCGAACTGCATGCTTCATCCATACATGTAAATAGTATACGACCTCTCAGCTGCGCACGTCTGTGTATCTAGTTGTATATAATCTACAGGCAGGATAGAGTGCGCGCGAGATTGCAGCCCCTCATAGTTCATACATGAAAAATCGCAATAGGGAAACTGATAGCGCAGCAGGTCGTTAAAGTGAAGCTCCAATCCTCTCTTGCAAGGTGCAGAGTGTCAGCGCGATCAACCATCAATATAAAACAAACTCACCATGCAAACTGGTCTGATTATTGACCTCCTGTTTCCACTTTTGAAAGCGGTGTACTTTGTGGAACTCTTGCATGTCCCATTGTCCATGGCCGCCTATGTCTGTATCCCCGGCCTATCAAATTAAACAGTTTTGAATGGTATCATCGTGAGTGTTTCATGGAGGCAATCGTAGTCAGGTATGCAACGCAAACGTATGAACAGGCCAATTTTTTTTAGTATGTTTCTGCCGCCGTGTTACTATGTAATAAATGATCGATGGGTACATCATACATGTGTATACGCCAAACGTAAACGTGTATCGGATGTTTGTACTAGGAATCAAATTGTAATATATGCGAATACAACATACAAATGAATGCAAAAAATCTGAACCTTGAACCGTTTATTGTTCAATAAATATTTCAGACAGATGGGACAGTAAAATCGCGACAAAATATATAACAAAGTATTAGTATAAAAAGTATATATGTATATATATGAATAATATGTAT